GGACATTGCCAACTATTAACTGATGAAATGCCAGGACATTGCCAACTATTAACCAATGAACTGCCAGAAGATTGCTAACTGTCGGGCTTATTATGAAATCTCTGTGGATTGCAAATTGTTAGCGAATTATGAATTGTTATTGGATTAAAAACTCAGCTCCAACAACATCTGCTTTACCTTCCTGTGCGGGAACATCGAGTGTGATGGAACACTGAATGAATGAAACATGGATAATATTGATGGAACACTGAATTATTGATGATTGAACTTATTGATGGAACACTGAATGTGATGGAACATTTAGTGTGATTTCCTCTCCGCCAGCTCCGACAACATCTGCTTCACCTTCCTGTGCGGGAACATCGAGTGTGATGGAACACTGAATGAATGAAACATGGATAATATTGATGGAACACTGAATTATTGATGATTGAACTTATTGATGGAACACTGAATGTGATGGAACATTTAGTGTGATTTCCTCTCCGCCAGCTCCGACAACATCTGCTTCACCTTCCTGTGCGGGAACATTCAGTGTGATGGGGCATGAAAAATAAAGAAATAAAGATGGTGAGCCAGGAAAAAGAAATAAATAAAGATGGAAATGTGCAAAAAATAAATAAGTAAAGATTGTGATGCATGAAAAATGAATAAATAATGATGGTAATGCACGAAAAATAAATAAAGATGGTAATGTATGAAAAATAAATAAATTAAGATGGTAATGCAGGAAAAAGAAATAAATAAAGATGGAAATGTGCGAAAAATAAATAAGCAAAGATTGCGATGCACAAAAAATGAATAAATAAAGATGGTAATGCACGAAAAATAAATAAATAATGATGGTAATGCAAAAAAAATATATATATAACATATATGCATTATGCATATAATGCACAATAATGTGCTACAAAATCTTAAGAAAGTATGATGGCAGGTTCAATCACAACGCATAGAAATTAAAAGTTCAAATGGTGAACTGCCAACAAGTAACAACTCAGCACGACGGCAGGTTAATTAAAGATAACCTCTTATATACCAAGCAGTATAATAAACATGAGGTGAAAATGGGTAGCAGGTTAGTAGCGGCAGCAAGTGAAATATTTGATTTATAAGACATGAATAAGAAATGGAGAAATAATCAGTGTATAAAGCAATTATATACATAGCAAAATTTTTTAGCCATAAGTAGAAAAAAGTCTCAAGGTCATTGAAACTGAAGGCTTGGATGAGTTCAGATTATTGAAACATTGTTGTGCCGTCTAGATAACAGTGATATACTTTATAATACATAACAGTGATGCTTTATGCTAAATAACAATGGGAATGAAACAGATGCGAGAAGAAAAATAACATAAAAATAATAATTGAGGGAAGCACTGCACATTCCTACTCGCAATGAAGTAAAAACTAGAGAAATCGAACATACAAAATAATTTTAATCAAATTCATATTTGGAACAAGACAAATAACGCCAACGAGGTACGACGTCCGAACGCAACAGGCAGAAGCACAACGTGCGAGAGCAAGAAGAGCGCTGTGTATTAATGAAAATTCGCTGTATATATATAAAAAAATTATTAAAAAGTAATGATTTTTATAAAAAGTCGATGTATTTTTTTAAACTATAAAAAATATATCATGAAATTACTCCATAAAAATACTTCATAAAATTCACTGTATATTTATGAAAACTAAAACACTGTATATTCATACAAATTCACTGTAAATTTCCAAGAATCTAAAAATACTGATCTTTCAAAAGTTCACTAAGTCTGACTCGATAAAATTCAATGCATATTTAAGAAAACTGTTAAAACACTGTATATTTATACAAATTGACTGTAAATTTCCAAAAATCTAAAAAAAAATCCTGATCTCAGAGAATTTCACCAAGTCTGACTCGATAAAGAAGGTGTCATGGCCGCGCATGGCGGCGAAGATGGTGACAATCTCGCGGTCGTTGACATCTCTGAGCGCCTTGAGCATCATGGCGAGGTCCACGAGGAACGTCCGTTTGTTAATGATGAACCCGAGCTTGGCGGCGCCCGTGTTGAGGTAGTGCAGTACGTTCGTAGAGACCGTCTGCACGGGTCAAAGGGCCGTTAGTTGCAAGTCTGCACGAGACAAAGGGCCGTTAGTTGCAAGAAGTCTGCACGGATCAAAGGGCCGTTAGTTGCAAGAAGTCTGCACACGTCAAAGGAACGTTAGTTGTAAGAAGTCTGCACGGGTCAAAGGGCCGTTAGTTGCAAGAAGTCTGCACGGGACAAAGGGCCGTTAGGTGCAAGAAGTCTGCACGGGTCAAAGGGCCGTTAGTTGCAAGAAAAAAAAATCAGCTGGGCCTAATTGGCGAAAAATTGCGCGGTTTAAGTTGGTGTAAATGCGGTCAACAACCAAGAACACACACACAGCCCGTCACTAGTGACACACACACAGCCCGTCACGAGCCACACACACACACACACACAAAAACACACACGGATACAGTCACGGATACACAAACACACACGGATACAGTCACACACACACACACACACGGATACAGTCACACCTGCCCCAGGGTATCACCTCATCAGGCGCGACGCACTGTATGACGACGCCCTTGTCTGAGAGCAGCTCCTGCCGGTGGCGCCACGTGTCGCGGGTCAGGGCGAGAGGATAGTGACGCCGCTGTGCCGTCAGCGTCCTGCAACAACAACATTTGTCAGCCTTCTTTGTCTTACTCTGCAGGCTGCTGTCAGCCTTCTTTGTCTTACTCTGTACACTGCTGTCAGCCTTCTTTGTCTTACTCTGTACGCTGCTGTCAGCCTTCTTTGTCTTACTCTGTAGGCTGCTGTCAGCCTTCTTTGTCTTACTCTGTAGGCTGCTGTCAGCATTTTTTGTCTTACAATGTAGCCCTCTATCAACCTTCTTTGTCTTACAAGGTATTAGCCCTCTTTGTCTTACAATGACATTATATAATATCTTCATACAGTGCATTTACAGGTTTTTTACTCAAGAGGTTATAGTTACCACTCACCCAGTTCTGTTTTGCAAGATTTTGACTAATTATTCTTAGTTGAAGTTATCTTGCTCACATTGATTTTTTCATGCTTTTCTTCAAATTGTTTTGAAAGTTCTTCCAACTTCATGTATTTGGGTGTAAGTCAAGTGTTTCATTTCACACAGATCAAAATAATTTTATTTCATTAATACAATTTTTCATGAGGTTCCCACTGCTAAGAACAAAGAAAACTGTAGTAATATCACGTATTTTAAAAATATTTGTTGTTTGCTAACATAACATTCCCTATCTGAGCAAAAATGTATCACCAAATAAATATATAATTCAAATCATAAATCCATGGCATCATAACTTGTGGATAGAATCAACATACCAGGAGTGCATTCCTCAATTAAATAAATTAAAGGGCAATTAAATGAATACATAGATCAAATACCATTTCAATAGCAGCAAACAATTCCTAATACTCATTAAACACAAATGCCATGATCCCCAATGACGTCACAAAAGATGTTCAAGCTCAATGATGTATTTCCTCAATGAAAATGACATTATAAACTACCAAAAGAGGCCTCAAAAGGAGGCATTAGTCCTTACAGAGTAGAACAAAAGCAGAATTCAAATAAAGAACCTGAAGTGGTAGTAGATATTGCATACCTCAAGATCCTCCTGGCCCCGTTGACGATGAAGTAGCCGCCGGGGTCATTGAGGTTCTCTCCGCGCTGCACAAGCTCCGCAGGACTGAGACCATACAGACTGCATAGCTTGCTCTGCACATAACATTACAATATCATGATTGTTATTCTTCATGTCATCACACGAGATGAATTAAATTTTTTATTTTCACATGCTCGTTCTGACAGTGAATGAGCATATTGGGTAGTTCTGATGGTGACAGTGTATGGCATTTTGGCCAGTGCAGGAACAAGGTTCAAGAAAAGCCTCATATGCTCCTTGGGGACAGGGGAGGCATTTGGGGAATATGGATGCATTGAAGCCCCAGCAACTTAGTGTGTTTAGAAGTTGCTGAAAAAAACCTTTTGATTCTTTCCTCCAAAACCCAAGGAAAGAAATTTTTATGAGTTTTTAGATGAAAATATTATAAGTAGTTACACTGCCTTTACTTATTGGTTTCCAAGACAGGTACTACATAATTGGTTTCAAAATTCAAAGACATATATATATTTGGTTTCAAAGACAGGTTAGAGGCGCAAGAAGAGCACTTCTTTGAAATAAATTTATTAACAAGCATTTCTAACTTTTTACACAGGTAATGCATGTAGTGAGGTATTGCTCTAGTTACATACTGCTAGACACTTGTTATTAAGTTCATAGAACTTTCACAAAATTAATAACTTCATATTAATAAGCAACAAAGAAACACTACCAAATGATTTTAGACTTGGAATATAACTCACAAATAGCATATCCATAGACAAACCTATAAAATTTCTCATTACCTCTTTACTTATGATGAATCCTTGACGTGCATTTTTGACAACTCACATTTTTAGGTAATTGAGTAAAATTGAGTAAATTATGGTAATTGAGTAAAATGATATTATCAACAGAGAAGTCACAATGTAGCCTCCCGATAGTGTTTTTTATGGAGAATTTCCACAAGTTTTGACAGGCCATTTAAATTTAGTCACCTTAACCATGATGGGAACTTGTCCAAGGTTCTGCTCCACATATGGCATTCTCTTGCCATTAACAATGAAGCCAAATGTAGCCTGCAGCGAGGCCTTGTAAGTTGAGCCTGACTCTATACACTGGCGAGGGTATGTCTTTGTGTTGTGAACTTCATCCATCAGAGATGTAACTTGTGGGGAATAGATTTTGGCATCCTGTTAAGCATGTCACAGTTTAGAATTAGCAAGGAAAATTTGTAACATCTGTTTAAATTTTCGAAGAACTAGGAATTGTCAGCACTTTATTGTATAACAACCAAAGAATATTATAAATTATATAATTAGCATCAAAACCATTTCAATTACCACTGAACTGCTATACAAATAAATCTAACACAGAATTTGTGTCCCTATGCTAGTACTATTACAGTAAACCTAGGAATACAAAAAATAACCAAGAAAAAATATCCTGCTAGAAAACTCTTGTGACCATTGGAAATTGAGAGAAAGAAGGCCATTGCAATCACTCAGAGATTGCTTCAAATTTACACTAATCTTAGAGACTATCATGGCCAAATTTGTCGGAGTTGCTTTCTAGAGATTACAACAAAAGTCTAAAAACCGGTAGTCTATGCAGAACACATTATCCAGTTAAAACATTCAAATCTATACATACAGCAAATATATGCTAGCTTCTTCAAATAAAATACAAATTTCACACATCCCATCTGGCATTTATTATCAATCAAAATTCAAACACAAACAGCTTGACTTGACATACCTAGGAGTCTGGCTAACGCAAAACAGGCTGGATTGTGCTCATTTGACTCAACAAGCACCAAGATTTTCTATCAATTACACTAAACATAAAAGTTCCACCCACACACAGGAGATAATACTTCAGGTGTGCCTAAAAATACTTCATCTTTTCAGCTTTCTATGAATAACATCATTCAGAATCATATCAACATGTGTCAACTGTTCTAGTATGATGACATTTGTACAAAAAGCTTCCTACTGCTATAGCATAATAAATATTCTTAGTGCTAATTAATTATACTTTATTCTTGAAATTTTAAACTGAAAATGGAGCTGGAATCTGCAAAATTTTTAAAGGAGATGTGAGTGAAATGTTGTGTCATCATCTTTGCTTTAGATTCTTCATTAGTAATTTACAATTTTAGCAGTCAAGTAATATAAATGTTGTGAATAGAAAAAACAAGTGTAAACAAAAAGCAAGCATCATATAAAACATGGATGCAACTATCATTCATCAAAAAGCATAAACAAATAAAAATTAGACTAACAACACATGGTCTGATCATTGCCACAACTGCCTGCTACAGCCATTCTTAACCAGTCACATAGTTGTAACTAAAATTTCTGATAATAGCAGTCCTTGTCTGATAATAGCAGTCTTATCATCTCAACTACAACTTCACATTCAGCTTAACACTGTGGTCTGGATTAGCCACGAACCATCACAGCATGGGCTTCTGTATAACACAAGTATGAGGCATCACATTCATTGTAAAAAATATTCTGAAACTGACCACCAGGGAAATAATGATAGGCTGATCATGAGTCGTCATCTCAACAGGAGGAAGGTTGCTAATGGCCATCTGCAAACCCTCGCCAATGGCGTGGTTGAATGACTGAACCATTGGGTCTGACAAGTGTAGCAGTGCCTGTACACAAACAAATCCATTTCAAATAGAATTAGTTAAATGGGCAAAAATAGGCAATAGTTGACATCCTTTATTATCCGAGTAGCATGTAGGTTCCATGATGTACATGCTTGCAGGGATATGGAAGACAGAGAATATCAGGTGTAATCAGGTGTAACTTTCTAGCAACTACATGTAAATATCTAGTATACCGTATAGTAGAACAAAAATTTAAAAATATTTCCACTGGTTTTTCAACAATTCAATCAGCTTGTTGATAATCCAATTTAACTATGCATCATAATAATAGATACCAGTATAGTTATATTTTCTAAGGGATTGCAGGGAAAACTGTTAAATTGATTTGAAAATATTTCAGATTTTCTTGCAAAAAAAGTCTATTTAACCCTCTACCGCCTGACATGAGTAACCAGAGAAATATTGTCACAAGCCTACTTCCCAAAAAGGATACGTTCTAGTGAGAGCTTATTGACTTGCACTGATGGTTGCCGCCATGTACGACAACTTTAAAAGGTTCTCTGTTGCATACAAATGTCCTCAGGTTGCTACACTCAATAGTTTACATATAATTTAAGTTGAAAGTTATGTTCCCAGAGAGGGATATATGGCGGTAGAGGGTTAAATAAGTAAACTGAACCAACATTAGTCTCTAAAACTAACAACATGGATGATTCTAATCACATACATTGATTTGTATATCTTTAGAAATAATTATAAAGAACTAGATCATAATACCTACTTTAAAATCTTGAGCCTAAAATAATTTCAAAACTGTATATAATCTTCACTTACTTCATTTTCTTTTTCTGGGATTTCTCCATATTTTCCATCATGAAGATGTGTCAGAGGCAGAATAGCTGATTTAGGCATCACTAGTTTATTTAGAGCAGATAAAAATATCTTCTGGATGATTTTTTCTATCAATTGTGAAATAAGTATATACCAGGAACAATTCAAGTGTGTTCCAAGCTTTCAGTCCTGAAATTAATTTTTAGGGATCATTTAGTAACAAAATGAATGGATAATTTATGTCTAAAGTGAGAATTTCATAACCACTAGAATATTTACCATAAACTATAAATCAATAATGCATTATTTATGTATAATAGCAGCATTGCCTTCCCAAATAATAATTAACTGGCAACAATTGTGTAATTTTCAGGGCACTTTAGGGAAACTTTTTTGAGAAGATTCAAGCTGATGATGGTGAGATCTGGCAAAGAGGCAGTTTCATGTCAGGGAAGGTGGGTTCAGGAGTATTTTTGAGGATAGCAAAAGGAGATCCAGAGATCCCTCTTCCTGTGGTTCTTTGATCATGGGCGAAGAACCTGGTTTGACAATGCATACATATCAGTAATGTGACTAATGTCCCATAACAGGAGGGGAGTAATGTCACATCCAGAGTACGGAATGTTGTGGCAGGTCAAGGTCATAATGCCACCACTGCAGCTTTTGGTGTGTTCTCAGTTCTTGCCTGAATAAGAAGCAGGGATGAAAGGCAGACGTTAGCTTTGTCTACTGGGGGCAGGCTATTGTCAAGCCATTCTCAGTGAGGAATGCTAATACTGGCAGTTTGACTGCACTGGACTGAAAGCCTTTATAATTGAACCTAAAGATCTAGAGGGAAGGGATAGTCAATGTAAAAAGGTAGTGGGCTGGATGAAGAGGGAGAGTAGCAGTGTGGCCCCTGCCATTTGTTCAAAGCTACTGAGTTTGCCAAAAGCCCAACCAAGAGTGCAGACCAGGGGCCATACTTTCAAAATTTGCTAAGTGAATGTAAGTACTTACGCTCTATTTTCTTGTCTATGATTGGTGGATTTTGCTTGAAAGTCCATCAATGATTGGCTGATGAGCTTACGATCTCTTGACTTTTTTTTAAGTATAGGCCCAGGGTACCTCAAAACAATGACATGTCAGAGATGGGGTTCAAGAACATAGTATGATAGCAGATATAGGTATAACTGGCTAGCAGAAATACAAGAAAAGCTTCAGTTTACAGTAGTTGAGGTTACAATTTCAGCTAGGTGAAATTAAATTATTAGTATATTATTATTGTACAACATGATCTGGAGTTTGTCATTTAGAGAGCTGCAAGAGCAAGATTTTTTTGAGGATTCAGGAATTATCTCTAGTCAAGCTGTTGATAAACTTGACAATTATTTTTGAAATGCTTTTAATTACATATACAGTGGGGGGAAATAAATATTCGTACACCTGTCTCTTATACACATCTAGATGTGTATAAGAGACAGTNTACCCCCCACTGTACATTTATATAGTAGCAGATATACGTTTGTTATTGTGTGATGGCAATAAGGCCCATTGCCATTCATCTTTAACCCTTTGCATTCATCTTAAACCCTATACCGCCAAATCAGACTTTCAAGTCACCTTTAAAGAAGCACCGGTTTTCTAATAATTTCACGTTTTCTTTCATTTTTTAAAATTCACACAAACAAAAAAAGTCTTAGATTTATTTTTTACATAAGTGGACAAAGTTTCAAAGTTATTGGTCTGTAAATAACCTAAATAAAATTTCCAATTCCCAATGGCAATTTCCAATTTCTTGTGGAAATTTTATTTCAGTTATTTACAGACAGATCACTTTGAAACTTGGTACACATATGTAAAAGATAAATCTAAGACTTTTTTGTTCATGTGAATTTAAAAAAAATGAAAGAAAACGTGAAATTCTTAGAAAACAGCCAAAAAGGGGGTACTGTAGAAATCTATCTCCTCCTAGGATTTTCAAGCTACAACATCGAGAAGCATATCATTCGATGCGTAAAGACCACATCTATTGAGTGGTTCTTGCCGTTTTTCGAAATTCTAATTTTTGTGGGTGGGGTGGTCATTTTTCAAAAAAATTTGATTTCTCCCCCCCATCCTTTCGAATTCCCTTCCCCCCTTTTTTTGAAGATATTTTCATAACTATAAAGAAATTGAAAAAAAGCTACAACCAATCTCTAGATCTTTTATTTGCAAATCAAACAGTATATCTCTCATTGCTGTAGCTTAAAAACTCTAGGAGGAGATAGGTTTGCAGTGACAATAAGTGTGAATGTTCAGTAGAACCCGGCAAAGTCCCGAGCACCTCGAAATAGGCATTCAAGGTGGCATGGATGCAAAACTAGACGTTGCTGGAGCTGAAATTCAGTCAAAGATGGTGGGAACGACTGCATGAGTACCATCCTACATGACAGCAGCCAGGTAACTAAAGATCAGTGTCTTCAGGTGGTCTATTTATGTGCCTGGCCGGTAATTATCACCTATATCTATATTAAGGGGACCGACTACCCTCCGGAAAAACTTCTACAGTTATTATCCGATCATCATGAAACTTCACATACATACGTAAAATGTAAAAAAATAACATTTTGTTCCTATGAATTTTTCGAAAAAATTGATAGAAAATGTGAAATTCATAGAAAACAGCTAAAAAGGGGTACTTTAGAAAATCTATATCCTCCTACAAATATCAACCTACAACATCGAGACACATATCATTCGGTTCGTAAGGACCATACCTATAGATTTGATGATCATTTTTCTCATTTACCCCTTAGTTTTTTATGCGCATTTTATCCAATTTTTCTCATTTTTCCCCCCTCCCTCCCCTTCTCCCCCATATAAAAAACGAACCAGACAGAAATTCAAAAAAATTATCATCAGTTCTATAGGTATGGTCTTTATGAATCGAATGGTATATGTCTCATTGCTGTAGCTTGAAAACTGTAGGAGGAGGTAGGTTTGCCGTGCAACCAATCGGAGGTTTTCAGGACGCCCAAAAAACTGCCGGGCGGCACGTAAAATGACGTAAAAGAGTCGTAACGTAGCCAACATTCTGTAACCAAGCCTTAAAACTAAGTGAGGAAGGCATAGAGCAAGATGATTCTGCCACCAATGGAATCGTCAGAAAGTAAGCTTTAAGATGAGTATGAGCACCGGATAATGCCATGATTGGCCGCTTTACGTCAGACGTTCCTTTTTAGTGTGTCCACCCTTCTAGTTAATCCCATAGGCTTTAATTAAGGGCTCTAAAAACTCCCTCCCTTCGGGGGGCTGTTACGAAATCATTTTTTGACGTAGAGGGATGATTCTGGTATGGTTGGATGCGTCAAAAACTAAGCTTTCAGATGGGCTCAAAAACCGGAAAACGCCAAAATTGAAAATTTTAGGGTAGTCGGTCCCCTTAAATGTGAAAGAACTCCCCCACCCCTAACCCTTTCGGGAACTGTAGTCAAGGCATAAATCAACGTACAGAGATGATTTGGTACCTTTGGATAGGTCAGAATGTCAGCTTCAACACGTTGACTACGATTGCTTCATCTTGTACTTTTGTTTCATTTTTCTAGTACTATTATGGAACAGGGTTGCCAGACTTTCTTTTTTTACTGGACAAATTCCGCGATTTAGTTTTTTCAATTTAGGTGGTCGGCTAAAATTTATGATAGGGGTTGTAAGGGGCGCTTCCTAATTAAATAAAAAAAAATCGAATTTTTACACCGAAATCTACAAATATACTAGTACATATCGAAAAATTTAAAAGCAAGGATTAAACCACAAATGTTCATATCTTTATGGAAAACGTTTCGGAGTCCAGCTCCATCGTCAGTTTGTACATGTACATGTTCGTACATCTTTAAACTTAGGCCCAGTTTAAATTCAGCTGGTAGCTCCTATCCTCTTGAAATTGTGAATAGATAGGTTTTGTGCCCTGGTACTTGTAAGTTTAGGTTTTTAATTGTGTTTTTTGTGCTTTCAATTGTACTAATTTGTGACTTTCTATGTAAATTATAGATTCTACAAACTGACGATGGAGCTGGACTCCAAAACGTTTTCCATAAAGATATGAACATTTGTGGTTTAATCCTTGCTTTTAAATTTTTGGTTAACTTGTGATTTAAGCAAATAAGTGACATCAATTCTTTAGTACATATCGAGTTATAGGCCTTTTTGGCCTTTTTGTTCACGGACTTAATTGGCCGTTTTTTAGGCCATCTGGCAACCTGAATTATGTACCAGGAGAAATACATTTCGTGGTACGCATATGTACCAATACGTAGTCAACGTGTTAAGGTGAGACTAAAAACCGGAAAAGTGAAATTTATGATTTTTGTCCCAGAAATTTGGGCAGTAAAGGGTTAACAATTTTAGGCTTATTTTAAAGATCTTTGTGAGGGCTATCATATGGCATCTCCAAAAAACTTCCATATTATTTGTGAGGTGTCAGATGCAAAATACCAGCATCTCTAATAACCCTTGGGAACAGAGTAATCCAAGACACTTAAAAAAATAGAAGTAGAATAAATGACATTTTCTGTTTTTTTTTTACTTCTTTCTCCTTTATTGATATGATATTACCATATCCTATGATTATTGTATTATTGATGTGATATAACCGTATTCATAGACATGCCCTTGAGAATTAACAATGAACATGTCCACTGCAAGCTTCATATCAGCAGCCATGTAGCATTTCTTCTGTATCTCTGTAGCAGCTTACAGGACTGGGCTTGTAAGCTGCTACAGAGGAACGCCATATCAAAAATTCGATATAATGTTAGGTCTTGTTTAGGTTTTATGTCTGTCTTAGAATTTTGATATAATATGATTTTATTCATTTCTAGTTTTTTGAACTGATGATGGAGCTGGACTCCGAAATGTTTTCAATATCAATATGGTGAATTTGCTTGGTGTTTTCTTTGCTTTCAAATTCCTTGTGAACTTGCAATACAAGCAGACTGATAATATGAGCACTGTGTTATGTTGTGTTATAATGTGTCCTGTTATACTAACTTATGTTGTGTTACAATTTTTTATATAATGATATTTTGTGTTACAATGGGTTTTGTAATTTGTTATATGTTGTGGTATAATTTGTTCTCTTGTTCTACATTATGTTACAATGTATAGTGTTATATCATGATGTTTTATATTATGTTAGAATGTGTGGTGTAATGTTGTGTTGTGTTACA